ACAGGCTGAACCCAGATTGAAAGTTCAGCCCCCATTTTGGACAAATCCAACTTTTGTTGGCAAGCAAAAGGCAATGGAGCATGACTCACAGAGGCCAAAACCTAAACTTAACACGGCCATGTGAACTTGGTGCTGTTCAAACAGACCGCACAGTAGTATGAGAATCACATGTTGATGAAGTAGGTATAAAGCAATTTTGAAGGATAGATAGGGTCTATTTAACTATCATAATCAGTTTATTTAAAGTACACATTTTTCTTTAAAAATGAAAAAAAACACACATGCTGAAGCTGCCAATGATGGCTGAAGAAAGCCCCTTTGTATTGTCATAATTAACAGGTTATTAAGCGAGGGTGCTAAAAGAAAAATTAGCATCAGTTTATGCATCTTTAATAGTGGTCTTTGTTAATATTCTCCTGAGAACTATTATGTCATTAGAAATGCTTAACTGAGTTGTAAAACTTATAATTATTTCAGTTTGGGGGGTGCCTGAATTGACAGCTTTATTGACAAGTAGGCTATTAAAGGATTAGCTTTCATATGAACTCTGTGTCGTTCTGGTCGCAATATAGGGAAGGTACATTTGCACGAGAGAAGTTGCAGCAGTGATTTAACAGAATGTTGCCTGGGTCGAAAGCGGCCCTTATAGAGGTCCATAAGATTATTAGAGGCATGATTAAGATAAATAGGCAGACACTTTTGCCATTTCTGAAATGGTCAATAATCAGGCAGCATAAATTTAATTTAAGAGGTAAAATGGTAATAATAGTGTTGAGGAAAGTTTATTTTCCAAAAATCTAGAACTCACTAGGTAAAACAGTGGTTGAGTCAAAAACTCGTATAACATTTAAAATATTCACTTACATGCACATAGCCTCCAGGGCCTGGACCAAGAGCTAGAAAATGAGATTAGGATAGTCAGATCTTTGTTGACTGGTACAGACATGATGGGCCAAATGGTTTTATTCTGTGCTGTAAACATCTGTGAGTTTGAGTCAATAAGATTACCTTCTGGTAAGAAATTAACAACTTGAAACTTAACAGCTTTGTATGAGATTTCAAATGGGAGTTTCTTCAATGTAAAGAGTATATGAATGAGACATTGTTAGAAGCTAGTTTTCTGCATTTCCACATTGATCATGTGGTCTATCATGATTAGTATTGGGTGAGTGGCCTTGATGGCATAGGAGCATGAGGTGAAATTGAGGTGGCATAGTGGACAGATGTCAGAAATGAGGTGGTGTGAGGGGTAAGGGCTAGAAGGACTAACATTGTCGAAAACATCTGGGACAAGGTCTCAGAAAGCCATTGTCTTACCAGTCTGCCCATGCACTCAGTCACCTAGGCTTTTCTTTCAGGATGAAAGAACCTTAATAGAGTGAAATCGGGGTGTTATGTGGTTTTTTAAATGAAGGCACAGATGCTGAATCAGAAAATGTCCCGATTCGAGATGCTTACCATGATAGCAAAAATCCAGTCTAATGCATTTCTAGGTTTTCCTGATCAATGATATATAATCAGTATTCGAGGTTCACAAAAAACACGCATGGGATTTATACTCTTTTCTTTTCGTTTCTGAGTAATTGTTATCTCTCTCTGACAGAATTGTCAACATTGAAAACTGATCATGCTGACCAATGCTACACCATACTTAAGAGCTCCCAGCTCCAGTAACTGATCTTGATTCTTTTGATTTCCCAAGATATTTGTCATATTAGCAAAGCACACTGAGCATATCTATCTGAATATTAGGTCCTGACTGATGTGACCTTAGAACTGTTCCCTCATTGTTAGACCAGCCATATGCTCGGTGATGGGTCCCTGGGTCTGGGAGACCTCTGCTGAATGTAGATTTTGGCAAGTCAAAGTTTGGTATAGGACAATATGATGTGATTCTGGTTGAACAAAATTTCCGAGCTAACAACTGTATGCCATTCAGATTTCTTTCACAGAATAAGATCCTACAGTAAATAACTTACATCCCTGTCTATATCATAATACTGACAGTTCTGAATTTTTCCCCTATTTTTGAGAACACTAAAACAGTACTCCATCAGATAGTATAAAATTAATGTAGAGATGTTACATAAAATGGTAAGTGCTTCTTGTGAAATGTACTAGTGAAGAATTTTCATTTAGTTTTGAACCAGCACTTAGAAAATGTCATGCAATTATTTGACTCCACTCACAAAGTCATTTTTGTTTCCAAACACACCCTTAAACTTCTAAGTTTGGAGGTGAATACTAAAAGGTCAGCTACACAATGAAGGGAAAGGTTTAAATTCCATTTCAGCCTCCATCAGAAAAGAAGTTGCCAATCTCAACTTTGTTATTTATAGCAAATTGAATTTGAGGATCTAAGCATTTAAGAATCACTCATGCATGGAAACATCATTAACTTTATAATTTTGTGAATCTCACAGGCAAGATCTTTTAAATTTAACCAGGCAGTGTTGTCATTTTACTGATCATCTGTCTTTATAATACATGACTGATCTAATAATTGCTAAAAGACTGAAATGTTAATTTACTTCAAATGGTATTAAGATACTGTCAGCAGGACTTGGGTTAACATGATGAGATTTAGGTTTGAACCTAGCATAAATTAATGGCAATGAAAGCTTTCAACATTGAAATCCCTCAAATTTCAATGGTACAATTTCACCTACAATGTTCTCCTGGGCTTGTAATGTTCCTTGAAAGCTTCAGTACATTTCTTTCAAGTTAATTTTGAATTTTGTTTCAGGCAACCCTGGGGTGCAAATTTTTACTGCACCACAGACTTACATCACAGAACAGCAGAACAAGATTCCCCACCCCCAAGCATCCCCAGATAGTAACCTCCTGAGCCATCTGGAGATTGTACAGACATGAGGCAGAGGGCTGCCCCTCAGGGAAGGAGAAAAAGAACAAAACAACAAGAGGCTGAGTCAACTTGTGCCACGCAGACAGACTTTCCAGCAGCTGCCTTTCAACAGGCTGCCTACTTGCTTTCATAGTTTGAGAATATCTGACATTGGAGTGGCAGATGTATATGACTTTATTTTGTCAGAGAAGGAAGATGATGAATGAAAACTTAAGAATGAATTCCTCAACACAATCAGGCTAGTAATTTTAAACATTTTCCACATGGATCATTAGACAGTTGAGCTGCAAAGGAACTGGGAAGCATTTTCTTCCTTCAGATAAATGCACATGGTTTGTTACAAGTTCTTTTCTAAAGCTTATGGGCAATTTGAATACTGAAAGGCTTTGGGCCAAGCAGTGGGATTGGGCAAATATGAAAGCAATAGCCTGTGGGGTCATCTTTTGATTTGGCAGGATACTTCAAGTGTCACTGCAAAATTAAAGACTTAATGGATTCACTATTAAACAAAGTTTGTGACCTTAATGGCTTTCAGTGAATTCGTGTTGTCATTTACTTAAGTCTTATATCAATAGAAATGGTCAGATTAAAATTCATGCAGCACCATTTTCTCCTTCAATTGTACAAATAATTTCTAGCTATTTTTAAATACCATCACTGTGTATAACAAATAGTATATTTTGATGATACTACAGCTTTAAAAAGTGTATTTTGTCCTAGTTTATTTTGCGAAGAAAGGTTGAAACAGAGGTGGGCAGCAGTCTATTCAAAGCCAATACAGCAAACATCTTGTGAGGCCTTGGGTCTTTTTTTAAACATTGAGACAATAGAAACAGCCTGAATGGGTGGGATCAAACTCCCACAGAGCCAGGATTTTTAGTTTTAGCTTCCAGTAATTGCTAAAGTCTTGAAGCTGGATGTGGATGCTTTTATTCCTCTTTTTGTTACAGATAAAAGCTGGGGTTCTCTTTCTACCTCTAGAATTGCACGTGAGACAATGTATTTTATTGAATTTGCCTTTGCCAGGGTGCGTTTATGGGATGTTACTACATTGGAATAGTCAATTAGTTTTATATATATATATATAGTTTGAATGCAACACCTTACACTTATCTTTAAAATAAGAAAAAGTTAGGGTCTAGACTATCTTTTTAATATATTTTGAGGGTGCTGGGTCCAGTTCATAACAATATTGGTCCAAATTATTATAGATATGTATATTTCATTATCTTGCATTTTAATTACAAAATATGTCCAAAATGATTCATTTTTATTGTCTCTATGTTTTACCACTTTAAAAAAATCTTGATGATTTTGGAGGAGGAAAATCTACTCCTTCTATCATAGGTAAGTATGCAACTGTGATGTTGATTGAGATAGACATTGAAACTTTAGGCAATATCATGAGGAACTAAATCAGAAGACAAGATCAAGAATGAGGAGAATTTGACTGGATTGTCAAGGGGCAGGAAAAGTCCTGCCTAGTGGAAACAACAAGATAGAAACAAAGTTTGGGACATAGTGGAAACAACAAGATAGAAACAAAGTTTGGGACATAGATGAATGAAAAGCAAGGGACATTACAGAAAATATGGGAAGAAGAAGGTAAAATGGGCATGCAACTCAAGTCTGGGGAAGGTGTTAAATTAGGACACTAATAATAAATTACATGTTAATACTGCAGTAATTGATTTTCACTTAGAAAGAATAGCAATCCCTGTATATTAGTTCAGATAACCTTTGATAGTTGCTGGCTCTATTTTAGATAGGAATAGCTTAATTGTGTGATGGAACAGGTTATGTTGACTGGAGCACAACCTATCATCTTTACACTTCCCTTAAATTCAGTCTTACTTTATATTTATTACCAGTATGATATTAGGAACCAGCATGTCCAAAACTCTGGAATTAATCTGATTTCACTGATAATGATAATGTTCTAAACACAAAACAACTTAAACACAGCCACAGAAACTAGAACTCAAATAACTAATTCACTTCCATGTAACATAGTATTCATTATTTTAACATCTAGTAGTAATTCATTAAAGTCACTGTGGCAAAACAACTTCAAAAGCTGATTTGAGTCTGATCCCTTTGTTAAGTTGCAATAATACAGTTTCAATTAACTTACCCAGTTGTAATGTCATCATCATTCATCGTCTTCCCCAGCAAGTCGCTATCACTCATATAGCCAGACATGTCAGCGCTGATGGACTTCAGGTCTACATCATCAGTATCCAGAGACTCCAAATCCAAGTGAGAAACATTACATGATTTACTGGAACTCCGCATGGGCATGGTGTGTGAGTAATGAGAGGAGTCTCCCCGAACAAACCAGCCAGAATTTCCTCCAGGTTGGCATCCACTGCCGACCGAAGGTGCATCCCCTGCCTGAAGACGTGGACTTGCTTGGCCGTACCGCCAGGATAATGGTGAAGATCGATTAGATGAACTTGTGCCACGGCTTCTGGCATTCACTTCAGCACTTATGTCACTGTCAAAGGTTGAATCTAAAGCACTGTAATAAAAAAAAGACACAAATTGAATGTGAGTACATTTTTAAGAAAGAAATATAAACATCCACAGGCTGTTACAAATGACAAAACAGTTTTAAAACACTTACAGCTCTGCCTGTAACATTATATGTTTTATTAGTCTGAACCATTAGATGTAACAGAATAGCAAACATCATATATTCCGGGGTAAAGGATGATCCAATCAAACAAGTCTACCTTTTACAAATAAGTAACTACAACGCAATGTAACTCCTTTCCTGTACAGGAAGATGTTCTGTTGGTTTGAAATGATTTCTAAATGAAAATTATTTCTCTTTTGTTTCTATTTGGTAAGTAAGGATCAGTATTGAACTTTAAATTTCCTGAAAGAACGATGGCCTCTGTCCCTTACTTTTAGAATGCAAGAAAAGAAGATAGCAAGAACATATTAAATAAGTTGTGATCTGTCTCATTTATACATGCAAGCAATTAGTTTAAACAAATAGTCTTGCAAATTTGCCATATATGTTCATATTAATATGATAGGAAATAATTAATAATATTTGAATTGCATAGCACATATATTCAAGCTTCCTAGGGCCTATGTTGAAAACCCTGCTGGTAAAGATGATGTGCACATTTCATGGCAAACTGATTTTTAACATCAGTGATTTTATTTACACAATCATTGATAATCCAACCATCCACTCATATTATTTGATTTCTCACATTTACTCCTGCAAATAAGCAGTTTGTGATAAAATTAAAATGACAAAAGTGAAAACTGTGGGCAAGAGAGCACATAATAAAACTTTGTGCACTCACTGCAGAATATGCAACATTAAAGCATTGTTTTCTGTACAGCTTAATCAGATCATTGAATCTGAGTAGCATTAAGTTCTAAAAATCAACTACAGACTTGTTCCCACGAACAGGTCTGTTTCTAGATTAAAAAATTTGAAGGTTCAGTGTTTCTAGGCATCTGTTGACAATTTGCTGGCTATCTGGTTTAAGGATCAACAGTAATAGAACTTAACAAAATAATCAATGATTCAAAAGCCAATCAAGACTGAATTTGTGTGAATTGGAACAAACAATCCAACCAGCTACAAATGGATTACAAAAGATTACCAAGCCCAGAGAAGATCATCATGTGGCCTTCAAGAATAGGTATAGGGGACGACACCAGCATCAGCTCTCCTCGGTCCAATATCATATAACAAAAACCTATCTGGTTCACTAATATCCTTTAGGGAAGGAAGGTGCCATCCATACCTGCTCTGCAGCAATATGGTTGACTCTTAACTGCCAACTGAAATAGTTCAGCAAGCAAGCCACTCAGTTGTGAAAAAGTCTAAAGTCTCAAGAAAGAAATGACACCAGACGGACAACCTTGCACTGACTTTTGCAGCAGAAATGACAGTAGCAGAACAACGCCGTAGAACCTGCAGAGCCCTCTTTAGTAAAACTTGGAGGCTAGTGCAAAATTTGGGAGAGCAGTCTCACAGGCTTGTAAAGCAGAAGCCTGACTTGGTCACACTCATGGGATCATAACTTAGGGAAAAATCCCTGCCTTCATGTCGATAATTCATTATATCACAGTGTATGGCACTACCACCTTGCTAACAGAACAACTACAAACAGATCTGGCAAATGAAGACTGAGCATATATGATGCACTGTGGTCCATCAACAGCAGCAGAATACTACTGTAACACAATCTGCAACTCCATGGCCTGGCAATAACACCCCGCTCTACCATTACCAGCAAGCCAGGGCATCAACCCTGGTTCAATGGAGAGTGCAGGAGGGCACACACAGAGCAGCACCATGCATACCTAAACATGAGGTGGAACTTAACCTCCAACCATGATGAAGCTACAAACAGGGCTACTTGCATGCCGAACAGCATAAGCAGCAAGCGAGAGACTGTGCTAAGTTAGCCCTCAACCAAGAGATCAGGTCTAAGCTCTGCAGTTCTGCCACAATCAAACGTGAATGGTGGTGGACAATTAAACAACTCAATGGAGAAGGAGGCTTCACAAATATCCCCATCCTCAATGATTGGGGGCCCAGCAAATCAATGCAAAAAATAAGGCTGAAGCACTTACAACAATCTTCAGTCAGATGTGCTGAGTGGATGATCCATCTCAACCTCCTCCAGTGCTCCTCAGCATCAGAGATGCCAGTCTTCAGCAAATTTGATACATTTCGTGTGAAACAGTTGTAAAGGCTATGGGCCCTGACAACATTCCAAAAATGGTACTAAAGACTTGTGTTCCAGAATATCTAGCCAAACTCTTTCAGTTCGGCTACAACACTCACATCTAAAAAATGTAGAGAATTGTCCAGTTATGTCCTGCACACAAAAAAATAAATTCAACTCAGCCAATTCCCACCCCAACAATCTACTCTCAATCATCAGTAAAGTAATGGAATGTGTCATCAACGGTATTATCAAGCAACATCTGCACAGTAATAACCTGCTCAGTGACATGCAGTTTGAGTTCCACCAGGGCTTCTGAACTCCTGACCCCATCACAGCCTTAGTTCAAACATGGACTGAAAAGCTGAATTTCAAAGGTGAAGAAAGGGTGACTTTCCTTTACATCAAAGCTCCATTTGTCTGATTGTGGAATCAAGGAGCCCGAGCAAAACTGGAGTCAATGGGAATAAGGAGGAAAACTCTTTATTGGATGAAGTCATTACTACCTCATAGGAAGATGGTTGTGGTTGTTGGAGGTCAGTCATTTCAGCTCCAGGACATCTCTGCAGGAATTCCTCAGAGTAGTGTCCTAGGCCGAACCATCTTCAACTGCTTCATCGATGACCTATCTTCCATTATAAGGTCAGAAGTGGTGATGTTCACTGATGATTGCACAATGTTCAGCAGCATTCGCGTTTCTTTAAATACAGAAACAGTCCATGTCCAACTGCACCAATAAATACAGTCGTTGCAACAGCAGGTCAAAGGCTAGGAATCCCGCAGCAAGTAACTCATTTCCTCACTCCCCAAGGCCCATCCACCATCCAGAAGGAATAAGTCAGGAGTGCGATTGAATACTCCCCATTTGCCTGGGTGAGTGCAGTTCCAAAAACATCCAAGACGTTTAACACCATCCAGGACAAAGCGGACCACTTATTTGGCACCATTTCACAAGCATGAACTCCTTCCACTACTGATGCTTGGTGCACACTGCTGCTACTATCTACAAGATGCACTGCAGAAATTCACCGAAGTGCCTTAGACAGCACCTTCCAAACCCACAACCACTTCCGTTTAGAAGAACAAGAGTAGCAGATACATGAAAACACCAAACAAGCACGTTCCCCTCCAAGCCACTCATCATCCTGACTTGGAAGTATATTGCTGTTCCTTCAGTGTCATTGGGCCAATGCACTTGAATTCCCTCTTTAAAGTCATTGTGGGTCTTTTACAACGCATTGACTGCAGTAGTTCAAGAAGGTAACTCACTTCGACCTCCTCAAGGGCAACTAGAGATGGGCAATAAATGCTGGCCCACTCAGTGATGCCCATATGCCACGTGAATAAAAAGATGCATTATCTGTAACATACTTACAAACTCAATCTAGATAGATATGTTCAAATGATTGAAGAAATTAAGTTTGTGATGGACAGCAACATTATTGAAATGAGTCATAAAAGCTGAAGCTCACTTATTGTGATGATGCTGCAACCAGATGAGTTACAAATATTACATATTGATCATTGCAAAATCGACTTGATAACAAAAGTGGACGCCTATCATCAGCTGGAATTGGAGGACTGCACTGAACAAATTGGAACCACATGAACTGTCACAAAAATTATCTTACTAAAAGCAAGTTCTGTTCACTTACAGACCTAAAGAAATACTGGCTCTTTTGATACCAGATGGAATTTATCAATGGAATGTTATATTATTTAGAATGAAAAATGCATTGGCAATGTTCCAATGATTAACCAATAAAGTCACTGAGGGATTATGGAACCAGGTGGTTCACATTGGCAATTTGGATATTTTGAAGCAAAACTGGGAAGAACATTTGCACCGCTTGACTGAAACATTTGAGTGGCTCCAAAAGCCAACTTGGCTATAAATTCAACTAAGAGTGAATTAGCCAAAGCAAAAGAAACTTACTTGGGCCACACTGTTGGAAAAGGGCAAGCTGCACCTAGACAAGTCAAACTAAGGGCTATTTTGCATTTTCCCATGCCATAATAGAATGTGAAATTTTGCAATATCTTGGAATGAGAGGATTGCATTACCTGTTCCTTCACAACCCAAGCACTGAACCTTTAAGAAATTTGTTGAAAAATTCCAAGAAAAGCTGCATGGACACAAGAATGTCTTAGTACCTTTGAAAAGTTGAAAGCTGTGCTGACAACTACATTAGTTTTGACTGCGCCAAACTGTGAGAAGCCATTCAAACTTGCTGTCTTTGCTCACGATATAAGTGTGAGGCGTGTCTTACTGCAAGATGACAAAATATGCAGCTTGCCAATTAATTTTCAAAGAAACTGACCACAGGTCAGCAAAATATATTCAGCATTTGAGAAAGAGACATTGAATCTCACATTGGCTCTACGTCATTTTGGAAAATATATTTTTAATAATGTAGAAGAAACTATTATTTATGTGGACTGCAATCCTTTGATTTTCATGAAAAAGATTTTGTTACAAAACATTATGAATCCTTTGCTAGAGCTTAATTCTCCAACATATTGTGGTGCAGTAATAGTGTCTCTACCTCTGGGCCAGGAGACCCAGTTTCAGGTCCCAACTGCTCGAGAGGTGTGTAATAACATCACTGAATAGGCTAATTACAAAATAATAATCATTTTTAAATGGCTCATGTGGCTGGAAAACAAACTGTCACAATGCAAGCTTTATTGAGGACATAGATGAAGTTCACAAAGAATACTATGCTCTTTGTAAAATATGGCTCCTGCGTAACTTTCTGCTTGTTTAATGTTAATGTGTTACCCTTCTTAAAGAAACATAGAAATGGAGTTAAAATAA